GGTCGGCTCAGTAGATCGGGAAGTGAGCGAACACATACCGGCGTTCGCTCACCTCTCGATTCTGTCACAGGGGAGGGGCTGGCGGATCGGACAGGGGAGGGGGCGGTAAAGCTGGCTCTGCCTCTAGATAGGCAGAGCCAGCTGTCACTCACGCAGCTGGGCGGAACCAGACATAATTGTCGGGATCCGCTTCAGCTGCGGCGCCGCAGTATACCGCGAGCAGTAGCTTGCGGTATACTGTGGCGTCTCAGTTATACTGAGCTTAGGGTGACGGGAGGACGCTAGTTTGTATCCTCCTGTTACCCTATGGAAAACTAAGGGGGAAAGCCTTGACCCCATAGTTCTCCTTTAAGTTTTCTTTTGGTTAAAATGTATCCTTTTTTTCTATATAAATAAAATCCAGTAATAAAACAAGGTTTAATTTTAAATCTTTGGAGCAACACAGGCATTCTCTTTAACACTAACCTAATTATTGCTGTACATTCAAGGACACCCAGAAAAGCTTTAAAGGTAACTCATTAGGATAAAATATGGGGGGCGTCTACGGCTGAGTTTAACCCCTGGCTGCCATTCTCAGCCTTCTTTCCCAACCTAGTGGGTTGCTGACTTGGAACAAGCATTCAGCCAGTGAAGCATTTGGACAAATGACATGTACATGCTAGGGTTGATTTACTAAAGGAATAGCGACTGTTAACTTAGCTCAATGAACATTCATGTTGCTTAGTAAGATAAATGAGGGTGAGTTAGTTTGCATCAGCCAATCATGTAGCAGCAAACATTTTCATTTCCACTGCACATTCCTGGGTATTCAGAGAGTTCACTGGTTCACTTTAATTACTTACATCAGGGGTACCCATAAGGTAGATTGCGATCCACCAGTTGCTTGCAAAGCTAACACTGGTAGATTGCAGGTCGATTCCCTGTCCTGATCTCCTTCCTACTCTGTGCAGCTGAATGTGTCAGACGCTGAAGCATCTGACACATTTGGCCCACCTCCCTACATGTCTGCAGCGTCCAATACATATTGCCCCCCAGCCCGCAGTGTCAGAGACATTTGGCCCACCCCTCCAAACCCGCAGCATTGGACACATTGGGACTGCCCCTCCCTGCCTATGGTGTCACACCAGCACGCCTAAAGAGGCAGGAGAGCCAGAAAGCAGGTAGTTACTACTGGCAACCCAAGTTTGAATCCAAGCATGCACACACATAAATTATGCTTAATCTTAACTGTCTAAACTATGTTCCACCTCTGGTTTTCTTACACACAGTTCTTTGTGTGTCTGACTTATCCCACTTTCCCAGTCACCATGGGGGAAGAGTGATTGGCTGTGTAGCATATTATATCATCCCCTTCTTAAGGGCTTGTTCACACCAATTACAGTGTGTTCCAGCGAGGTTAGCTGCTGGAATGCACACTAAACTCTCCCCCGTTTTGTGGGGTGGGAGGGGACTTGTCCAGTGCGATCGCAAAAAATGCTGCACGCATTGTTGTGCCATGTGTTGTGGTGTAGGCGATTCCACTGCGGGCGAAGGGGGTCTGTGTCTGCAGGACCATTGACTTGAAAGCGCTGCCACGCCTCCTCCCACCCAAGAATGCAAGTGGAAATTTAGTATGCTGCATAATCGGTGTAATCAAGCCCTTACGGTGACTACTATAATATGATTCTAAATACCCCAGTGCCAGTAAGCAATTTAATGTGTTTGTTTTTGGTTTTTTTTTTTCGTTTGTAGATCTCATCGATAGTCATTTGAAAAGTAGAAACAGAAAAGATGGCAAGCGCACTACCAGGGGGAGAGCTGTTAGGGAGTTTGGGTGCGCCAGCTACTTAGCCAGAGAGAGGTACCCTGTGAACAAATGTAAAACAGCAAAAAAGGAGCGCTACAACCTAGAGATTGGTATCGTTATACCAGATTATGATCCTTATAAAGGTGTCTACAAAATGGAGACTCACGTTTAGGTGGACGAATTGTTGTCTTGCCGGTGGAAGATAGATGATATTGTCGGCTTGGATTATGAAAACGTCTTATGCGGCTACTGCTTGAGCAATTGTGAAAAACACACAGCTGTGTAATGTAAGTAAAAACTGGTAAAAACAGATAAAAACATCCGTTCTGTCCAGTGAGGGCTCAGCTGGCCAGGCTGCCACTCTTTAACTGAACAGGACCGGGGGTGCCGCTAGAAGTTGCCGGCACTCGTGATAAAAGTTTACACAGGGACGAGCATTGAGCTGGAGAACCAAGTGGTTCGTCTTGATGAGCGATGGGGGTTCAGTGGTTTGGCAACGCGTTTCGAAGCTTCTATGCTTCTTTGTCAAACCAGCAGTGCATTCAGTAGAACGGGCGGGAGAAACAGAGGTTTAAAAAAAAATGACAGGTGGGCGGGACTTTAGGTCGTGGGCGGCTACTATTGGCCAGTTCGGCCGGGAGGGTTGGTCATGGCAGATAATAGACGGCATTGGAACTGCTTTCAGATCGTGGGTGCATGTTTAAAAGACATTTAATAAAAACGAGTATATATAAAAAATGAATATATATAAAAATATATAAAATGAAAAAGATTCAGAACATGCTACATTCGTTGTGATGATCCTGTATCTCGAGTGTCTGGATTTTTTATTTCTTATTTTTATTGTAATTAATACATTTTTCACTATTTGATTCATTTGGAAAGTATATAATTTGTTTACAAAGGGGGGGATAAAACGAATTTTGTGAAAATGTTCTATAATTGTGCAATATCAAACCATTGTCAGGAGTTGTGTGTATGATCAAATGTTGACCTTCCACCTAAGTGTCTGGATTGTATGTTTAAAATGAATAAAAAAGTGTATTGGGTGAAGAACTTTGTTTTAAAACAATATTGTATAACTATACCATTATATATGTACAGGATTTAACATATAAATATACACGCATGTTACATGTATATTTTCTTTCTTTCTGCATCGCTTTGTTAATGAGTGATTTATACATTTGTTTAGGAGTATATATCGTTAGTATATATATATGATAATAATAATAGGTGTATGTGTGTGAGGTTCGGATTGCTGTTGGATCAGGATTTTATAGAATGGTATGTATTTCAATATCTTCATTAAGACCGGTTGGTACTAGGGTGTTAAGTTTGTAAATCCAGAACGTCTCCCTATTGCATAAGAGTCGGAAGCGTTCTGAAGGTGCTAGATGAGTAGATATATGTTCAATGGCGAACACATGCAAAGCATGAATGTTTTTGTAGTGTTTGGCTGTAAAATGCCGCGGTACGCTATGTTCAATGTCTCCCTTTTCTATGAAGCGTCTGTGTTCACCGATGCGTTTACGTAGTGCTCGTATAGTACGTCCAACATACATCAGACCGCAGGGGCATGTTAATCCGTATACCACATGATCATGTGTACACGTGATAAATTGTCTGGTATTGTAAGTGCTGTTGCTATGGTCCTTAAATGTTTTTTGACCGTGATGAATTGACAGGCGAGACATTTCGTTTTTTTGCACCGAAATGTCCCAACTCTGTTGTCAAACAAAGTTGTTTGTACTCGTTTTTGGTTCTTTGAGTAGTCTACTTGGTGCGGCTATATTTTTGATGTTTTTGTTTTTCTTAAAATTAATATAGGGTCTTGATGGTAGAAGGGGACCTAGTTTAGGATGCTTTAATAGGATGTGCCAGTTTTTCTGAAGGACTTTCCCAATGGCCTTGTAACTATTGTTAAATGTGGTGATGAACCTAACCTTATTGTTTTTGGGTGAAGGTGGGTCATGATTGGCAGTTTTGGGTGTGGCCGTTTTTAGATATGTGGAAAACGCATTTTTGATCAAATCCTCAGGATACTCTTTTTCTTTGAATTTGTTTGTGAGAAGGAGACTCGAAGCGGTGTAGTCTGATTTGTTGGTGCAGTTTCTACTGAGTCGACAAAACTGGCTCTTGGGGATGTTGTTTTTCCAGCGGGGGTGATGGCAGCTGTGGTAATGAAGGTATGAATTACCACCTGTGGGTTTTGTATGACTTTTTGTGATGATCTGATTGTTTTTGGTGGTGAGTTCAAGGTCTAGGGCAGTGATGGCGAACCTTGGCACTCCAGCTGTTTTGGAACTACAAGTTCCCCCATGAGGCATTGCAAGGCTCTGACAGCCACAGACATAACTCCCAGAGGCAGATGCATCTTGGGCTTTGTAGTTTTGGCACAGCTGGAGTGCCAAGGTTCGCCACCACTGGTCTAGGAATACTAATTCGTTGGTGCTAACGACATGGGTGAAGGATAGGCCTAGTTTATAGTTGTTGCAGTGATAGACAAATTCCAACACGTTTTCTGGCGCTCCGTCCCAAATAATGACTATGTCATCTATGTATCTCCCATAGAAGACTAGATGTTGGGCATAAGGGTTGTTCTTCCATATGTGGTGGTCCTCCCAGTGGCCCATGGTGAGATTGGCATAGCTGCGTGCATAAGCCGTTTTCATAATCCAAGCCGACAATATCATCTATCTTCCACCGGCAAGACAACAATTCGTCCACCTAAACGTGAGTCTCCATTTTGTAGACACATTTATAAGGATCATAATCTGGTATAACCATACCAATCTCTGATTTGAAAAGTAGATCTTAAACATAAAAAATTGTGGGCACCCCTGATTTACATTCACTATGCTAAGTGAACAGCCTCTAATTATTTTGTAAACCAACCCACCTGGGCCTGAAACTAAGCTAGAAATGAAGATAGTATAAAGATGACAGCTCAGCATCTTGCACCTTGAAAAACAAATTCTCAGTGCAAACTCCTACATCTCCATCCAGGGGGGGGTTCACTTTAACAGTTACTCAAAATAAAGCCCATTTCACATGACTATGGGCAGATTTATACAAGATGAAAGTGTTTTGCTATACAAAACATGAATCAGACAAATGACAGAATATTTCTGATTGCCCCTACCAATGCAATGTTCTTTCTTCCACTTTTTAATCTAAAGATCTGCACATATTGTATCATTAACTTAGGAGGGTCTAATGTAGCACAGTGATTTATGCGGGTGGCAGGGAACAGAGTAAGTAGTCTACAAAATGTCAAATGACTGCTAAGGGTAATGCCTGCCCATTACCCTTCCAAGGCAGACTCCACCACACATTAAAGTCTACGGAATGTCATTCACTGGTGGTCATTGCTGGAAACAGCCTGCACAGAAGGCTGCGACTCCAGGCCAAGCAGTGTCCCCAAGTAAGAGTGTTCTCGAGTCTCAATTATTTGCCCAGGTCTGACTGGATGCAAAAGGGTTGCTGGCTGTGGAGTAAGAGTGTACTTTTCCAAGAAAGCTAATTCAGAAGGACGCTGGTACTCTGCATTCTGTGGCAGTACAGAAGAGCCAGCATGGGTCTCTAATTCAGCTTCACTTTCTGCAATCTCAACGGGCACCAGGGTGAGAGGCACACAGATATCAGCCTCTGAGGTCTGTGAAGCAGCTTGGTAGAACTTGGCCTCTTCATTTGTACCATCCTCCTCTGTCTTTAAACTATGAACATGGTCAATGTGGTACTTGAGCTTGTCCTTACGTTTAAAAGCTGCGCTGCAAAGCTGGCAGTTGAATGGACGGGCATCTGAATGTATGACCATGTGTTTTGTCAGTGTCTTTTTAATACGAAAAGCTTGATTGCAGATCTGACATTTATATGGCTTTTCACCTGTTAAAGACAGAACAAGTTACTTATACAGAGGTTAATGCCTTTGTTACAAGTATATTGTCTATATGTATACAGTTTACATGTAAATAAATACAGACCTTTTAAAAACTTAAATATGAGATTACATTTTAGAACCAAAAATACTGTATATTTTCCCTCAATAATGTACCCATGCCATTCCACCCCATCTAACAGTATTTTATTATTTTATAAGGCTCACCTCTGTGACGCCACATATATGTGTGATGCCAGCGGGAAGGTGAAAAACAGCACATGAAGATAATTTAAAAAACACTTTAGAATATCAATAAATATTACCAGAATGTGTTCTGAAGTGCATTTCAAGGCTTGATTTCCCCTTAAAAACCTTCTTGCATACTTCACACTGATGAATTGTTGCCTTGTACCTGCAAAATAAAAATAAAATACATCATCATTGTAAATGCATAGACAGGAATTTACAACATACAAGTCTAGTGAGAGCAATGAGATGGTAAAATCATCCAAAACTGAGTAATCAACCTTCAGGGTTACCCACACACTTTCTCTACCCTAAAAGATTCTGGCCCTGTCACCCGGTTTCCCATATTTGACAATCTAACAGTCTCTGTAATGTATCCAGTGTGCTGTTCTATAAGGGCAGCATGGGCTGACTCTACATTTGTACCAGCTGTCCAACCACTGAGGAGTTTGATCCCAGTTGGTTGAGTCAGGTTCTACTGCTAAATATCTGGAAAATACTTTTGAAAGGGTCTTTGGTCTTTACCTGAGCTTTAGGTCTGTAGTCTGGTCCAGGCCTTTAGGGCTCAGCTTTTTGGGGGTGGAGTGAGAGCTAATAACTCACATTGATGACATAACCCAGTGCTTCCTAGACTGCAACACTTTGCTTGACTTTGAATAGCCCTTAGCACACTATTTCTCTCAATGACACCAACAACAGGGTACTCTTCCTCACATGAACACCAATGATGGGGCATTATTCTACCCAATGATACCAACAACAGGGCATTGTTCTTCCCATTGTTACTAATGATGGGGCACTAGTATTCCACTGGCACCAACAATGGGGCATTATTCCTCCTCCCACTTACCACAGATGCTAGGCCATTTTTTTTACTCCCACTGCTTGTCAACCCTGAGACATAATGTTCTGGTATCAGAGGGCATAAACTATCTACTCTCACTGGCCACAGTGCAGCACCCCAAGGTCTGCAGGACAATGAACTGGTTCCTGTCTACAAATCTCTCTAGTATCAGCTGCACAGTGGACTGTGCCCAAGTAATGCATGCCTGCAGTCACTTGAAGTCTCAGAAAGAGGCTTCCGTGACAGGATGACAATGCGGGAGCACAGTTGGGAGACAGACCTCACACTGTCATAGGAAGTCCCTGAACGAGTACCTTCATAGCAGAATCATCAGGTATTTTAGTGAAAGCTGCAGATTTAAAAGGACTTTACGAACCATATTAACATGTTAAAGCTTATAGGCAATTTTAGTTTAGTTCTGGTGCAATTTCTTTTTCTTTAACTATTCTCATTGCTTTTTTTTTTTAAATACCAAGCTAGCCCTCCATCACACTAACAGGCTTATTCAATAAACCATTTACAGAGGGTAAATGCAAAGAGCAGTACCCATTACAAGCAATTCGAATCCATCCTGTACTAGTCTTGACCTCAGTAAAGGGAATTCTGATTGATTTGTATGGATTACTGCCCCTAGCAGTATATGTACAATTAAACCTAATTGGCCCACATAATGCACAGTCTACAGACAAATTGAAATGCCTAAAAACCTGTATAACATCTGAAGTCTATAAAACAATATAATTTATTTCTGCCTTTGTGTAAATGAAGTCTGTAAAATAAAACTTTGTTGGGCCAAATCAGACCAGATGTGAAATCCTCTTTTAATTCACATTGAATATTAATATATTTTGAATTGATATTTTGCATACTTTTTTCTTCCATGAATTGACTTGAAGCCACTTACTTCTGCCAAATCTTCTCCCCTAAATGAACGCTCTTGTAATGCACAGTCAGATGGTCACGGCGGCCAAAACATTTCCCACATTCTTCACACTGATGGGCCTTCTCGCCTTAAAATAAATGTAATTTTTCAATTTGATATTTTTAATAATTAATCCCTGAAATTTGATGTTAAATGTTCAGTTTGTGAAAAGTGTATTTAATGTCATAAAAAGCACACATGTCTATTTCTGGAAAGAGACAACCAGGTATTTAATATACTGTAAGTACTTAAAGCGGAACCTTTACACTACTTTACAGAACTAGTAATCTACCCTTAGTAAACATGGCCACTGTCAGAAGACTGGGCAAGAAAAGAGAAATAAGGTGTGCAAAGGATACAAAGCCAGTAATTATCTATAAGCAAGTGATTGTATATTGTCATTACTTAACATTTCTAAAAGGTGTATTTGTTGTTATTTTAAAGATATGGGTAAAGGTTCGCTTTAAAGTCTCAGCTTAGAGATCCTGTCACCTTGCCCATTCAGTCTTTTTTTTTAAAGCCCCCCTTTCCTCTCACTTATACTTACCTTCACAGCATTTCCCTGCCGCTTCGCCATCCACCACAGCAAAACACCCAATGCTTCTAGGTATTGGAGAACATGTGATCTCCTCTCATGATGCAGCACTTGCACATAGTGGCCAATGGTTTGGTCTGAAACATGGGGGTGACCTTATCGCTCCGACACTAGGTATTGTGCGGCAGGTGCAATCAAGCAAAGTGCAGCTGGGGAAAGCTGGGGGGACAGGTAGGTTTTAAGCCCTTTAATAACCTTGAGCACTAGCAGTTTGTTTGTAACATGTCCCTAGCCTCTGACTGTCTCCTACAGCACGACTTCAGTCTCCGACCCTTTCCTCAAGCAAGTCTTTAGTCTTTTATAGTTTTCTGTAGCATGTACATGCAATAAATATTATACGTGGCCCTTTGGAAACATCAGGTGCCACACTTGAGGCCCCCTATACCTTCTAAGTTGACAACCACTATTTTAAAGAGATCCTGTATATTGTCCTAAAGGGGCAAGGTGACAGAGTCTGTTAAATACCATTGATATTATGATAAAGAAGTACCTAAATAAACCATTTCTGACCAGGAATATTTCACACCTCCATGCCCAGAGCAAATTTTCCACGGTTATGTTTACTATGCAAGGTGATGCAAATAATGTAAACAATTTTCAATTTCCTTCCAGAAATTTGCTAAATCTTAAGCTGCCCAGGAACAACTCTAACATATACAGTATGCTATGATTACAGGGCTAAAAAATATATATGTTAACATATAAATATGTTATTCACATTTTTGTAAATTAAGTGCATTTTCGTTTAAAATGTCTTAATGTATATATAGAAAGGTTCAATTTAACATTCGCAATACCAGACAACCAAATACATTAATTTATTAATTCAACTTATATATGAGCTATTTTTGTTTAACTGTGTCCCTGTATTTAAAGTAAATATTGTAAAATAAGTTAAAATTTATCAAATGAGTGATGTTAAGTCGCGACCCAAGTCGCACTGCAATTGAATGAACGGAATTAGGGTACCGCCGGTTCCAGTGCGGGCGTACGGGCAATGCTTGTGCAGCTTCCTTGTGTCCCCTGTAGAGGTGTCGGGAGCCAGAATGTAATGTCCCTCCGGGCCAGGCACCTCTATAGGACACGCGAAGGAGCTGTAAGCAATGCATGTATGGATGGAGCTCCCTCACGGCAATAGTTCCAGCCCACCCCACCTCAAGCTGACACTTGGCACCGGGCAGCATATTTTGAATGGCTGCTTGGCGCAAGAACTGACAGCGCTGCTCTAGGGGGAGGCAGAGGAGCCTCTCACCTAGAAAAGTGGAAGGCACGTGGTAACCCACTGAAAACGGGGTCACGACCCACCAGTTGAGAACCAAGGCCCTAGACTATAAGACACCTGTGTAAAATGACCTCATGTAAAGTACCTCATGTGTGCACTATTCAATGCCATTACATTTGATAAGGCCCAAAAATTATGACATTCATTTGGATTTTAATGGGACAATATTTCCCATAACGGGCATTCTGCATGAATACTGGGTACTGAGAGGCCCTGAAGTGCCGGGACATTAGAAACACCTCAAAATAAAACTAGAACATTTTTGGTGTTAACTAAATAGAATTAATAAAAGGCAAAAAAACAAACAAACTCCAAAAAGCCTAACGCCAGCCTAACCTAAACCTATTCCTACCGCAGGAGAGCAGAGCAACTGTTGCAGTGATTTGGAGGACTGATATGATAATGAGCTACAAAATTATTGCTACGGTGAGTCCAGGATCTGGTATGACACTTCCAGCAGCTGCTGATCGATAGTCATGCAGGATATTGAAAAAAGCGTCAGGGACTTTATTCAGCAGAGATACAGAGAGACGTCCTACCTTCTGCTGGGAGAAATGGGAACATTGGCCTGGCAGCAAAAGAGCTAAATAAAGACAGTAGGTACATCTTTTTGGTAGTAACGAAAATATAACTGGAAAATGCATCTAACTGGTGGTGGGTACAAATTAAAAAGAACTTACCAGAATGTATCTTCTTGTGTTTAGTGAGATGATCATGTCGTATAAAGGTCTTCCCACAGTCTTCGCACTCATAACGCTTGTCATCATGATGGACACGAATATGTAATCTAAAAGGTTTAAAAGGACAGGTCTTTTTACTTTTAGTAATACGTGTAAAATCTATGATTAATTTATTGTGGTATATTGATTTATTTTAAGGCTCATGCACATGGGTGGGTGGCTAAACCCATACAATGTAAATTCCTGCATATTTCCCCTGCCAGAGAGCCAGAGATGCTATATAAAGCCTCCTACAGGTCAATGACTGTGTGCTGGTATACGCTGGAGTTGAGTAAAACACACGCATGCATATAGGCGCACAACCCCGATGGCAGACAGGCATTCCTCATAACAAGTTAAAATAAAAATGCAGCTCTTGCTGCGACACTTCAAAGATATGCTGGAAGGTTAATTGATTTCTAAATTGTAATCTGTCTGCGTCTATGTATGCATGTGAGATAAGGACCTTAGATTGGATTGTAAGCTCTTTGAGGGCAGGGACTGATGTACATGTGCAGTATGTAAAGCGCTGTGTACATTGCTGGCGCTATATAAATACCTGTAATAAATAACAAACACTTTCCCTGTAAACGTGTTTCCTTCAGTAAAACCTCTTTGCCACTAGATGGTACAACTTTCCCACTTTCCCATACTGAATGACAGCCAGCATCACTGAACTTGCTGTGAGCCCAGGGTGTCAAGGACCTAGTAGGCACATCAGGCCACCCTTGGCTCACAGATATATGTGCAGAGAACAGTACCACATCATGTGGCACCGCTAGCTGCTATATTTAGGGCCCAGCAAATTCAGGGAACTGCAGAGGAGGAGGAGGTCCAATGGCATCATGCAACTGGACAGTAACCATGATGAAAGAAGTTGGCACAGACATAGACACATGGCTTGAGGGTGTTAGGTGGAAAGTTTGTATAGCAGATGCTCTCCCATTTCATGACAGCAGGTAAAAGCTTCAGCTTATTATAATTAGTCATTTCAACTCCTCCTTGTTTTAACCTGTTTACTATTTTAGGTCAGGTCTGATTTTCTCATCTGTAATAAATAATCTCTTATCATGTCATGTTTACTCACCTGTATGAGCTACCATGGCGGAAATTCTGTCCACAAATACTGCAGAGGTGTGGCTTTTCCCCACTGTGAATCCTAAGATGTTCTTTTAATGTGGTCCTTAAAACAAAAACACACAAATGCAAAAATACCTTGACTGAATCTCAAACACGCAACATTTAGAGTGATGGCAGGTAATTTGAGTACTGAACCAGCAAGGGTGAAATTAAAAACAGAGTATAGCCTTCTCATTGGGTAATAAAATTAAAAAGTTACATCATGGACATTACTTCACCAACGAGATGTGTTGGCACAACAGTGATACATTATTTACTATAAAACTTGTACAGTCTTTTATACCTGGCTGGATTACTGGAAGGCGGCTTTCCTCCACATCAATAACCAACTTACCTTTCTCTTACTGACTTCCCACAGATAAAGCAGCTATACTTCCTCTTTCCGCAATGTGTATATTCAATATGGCGCCTCAGGTTTCCAGAGTCATTGAACTGACGTCCACAGATGTCACAAGGAAAGGGACCTGCAAATAAATCTTTTTTTTTTACTCTAACTATTGTACGTGTTCAACTGACTTCATATCATTTCTAAATGTAGATTAAATATAATAGACACTACACATAATATTTATAACAAGCAGAGATCTGAAAGAAGAAGAAGTTTTTAATGCCTTATGTCCAAGTTGAACTCCAACTGGTTGCTATACATTATTGCACAATGAGGATGCATGGCTTATATTACAGAGCTAATAGATGAATCGAATTATGCCAAAGTCAGCATTAGTGAAATGGGACAAAATGACAGAAAGTATTAAAGATGAGCAAAGCAAGTTGTGTACTCCCAGGATATAAGATCAATACTATAAAATACTATAAAATACTATAAAACATGCTTTAAACATTCATAATGACATCACTAATTATATTGCTGTGGATTTGTCTGCAAGAAAACAAGGCATAGGCCTTAGCTGTGGTTTTTGCTATTGCAGGGTGACAGGCTGGTGAACAGCAGTGCATTTTATCTATTTTTGGAGTTCATACAATGAGCTATAGCACTCTCCTAGATGATGTCACTTTCTATCCTGTTCTATTTTGATGCAAAAAGTCAGCTAAAAAGGGTTCTCTACTTTCAAGAAGAAAGAGGAAAACATCTGAGACTGTGGCCCATTGTGGAATGGTGAAAATCTACCGATGTGCCCACCAATCAGCCGCTTTGATTATCTACATTTCCTCTTAAATGTAACTGTATGTGCTGTACACTATGCATTGAATAAAATGGAAACTTGTATTCTGCCAGAGGGTGAATGTACAGCACATACGTGGGCCCTGGGCAGTTATCAAAGTACTAAGGTAAGAGAAGTTTCTGAAATACAAGGGCTGCAGGAAATGGTCAAACATTATAGAACACATATTTGGTACACCACAAGACAATCTTTTGCATACAAGGAAAAGGAAAGAAGAGAAGGAGGGATCATGGGGAAAGCCAAGGTGGAGGGGTTTATAGT